GCATTATGAGAGAAATGCCATTAGGTTCATTTTAAAGGTGAGGAAATTAACATGCATGTCAATCCCTCACCCAATGTCACAAAGGAAGTCAGTGATATAGCCAGATTTGAATCTAAGTCATCTGGCCTCAGAAGCCATAGTCCTTCTACTTCTCTATACTGCCTTTATCAAGTTGAACCCTTGTTTCATAGCTGAGGGAAATGAAGCCCAGAGAAGGAAAGTGACTAGCCCAGACCACACGGCTTGTGAGTAGCAGTGCTAGGACCTCATATAAAGGCTCATATCCAGGAACCTTTCCTCCCCTACAGGCCACCTCCCCAAGTTTAATGTAGGTTTCTGCTATTGCAGCTGCCAGGCAGCTCCTGTTACCTGGATGCCATGGAAATTGTACTTTATAGCTCCAGAGACAGCAGGAGCCTGGTGGCCTGCTCCCTGGGGAATAGCCAAGGAAGGTCAGCCTACTAGCCTGCAGACCCAGCATCTAAAATAAACCAGGCAGCAACTCCAGTGGAAACCAGGCAGCAAGCCCAGAAGAAATACCATAACTTCCAATAGCCCAGGGCCAGATGTGGAGTCAAAGTCCAGGTTTCTTTGGTCCAGCACCTTGCATACCACATGTGCACTTAGAGGCTGCTGCTTCTTCCTTTTGTTTTAAAGAAAATGAATCCCTGTCACTCCGGCTGGAGGCACTGAGGGAACTAAAATCCAGGAGACCCTTGGAGCATGCTAGGGAGGGAAGAGGCAAGAGTCTTTATTGATTCCTAAATTTGAGTGCTTATCAGAATCACTGGACAAGCTTTTACAAATAATCCAGATTTTATACCATAACTACAGAATCACAATCTCTGGGAAAGGGCCTGGGAATCAGAATTCTAACATGTTTTCCAGGTGAGTGTATCCTGATACAGGTTGGTGAATAGCAATCTCCGTTTGCTGGTTCACTTGATTTTCACCTTCCATCCTCAGCTCTCATTTAGTATATAATTTTTTTCATTTGGAAATTTAAATTCCAGATTGTCTGTGTCCATAGCACTGTGGTTGATGTGATAACAAAAAAAATACTTAGCGGGGTTTCTGTTACTTTTTAAAAATAGAGATTTTAAGTTTTCCCTTTTAAAGTTTAGAAGGGTTTCTTTCCGCAAGAGGTGCAGATCCCTGAGGAGCCAATTCTGAAGCGTTTGGTTGCTTAAGAAGTCCGTTTCCAAGGCCCTTTGTATCCAAGTCAGTCTGTAAAAGTTAGAGGTTGCTGGGGTAACGGTGGCTGCCAGGAGACAGCCTATTGTATTCAACTTCTTTGCCAGCAGCTGGAAATACCTGTTGAAAGAGAAGAGTTTCTTTTCTTCTTATTTAAGGAGAGTTTGAAAAGTTACCTTACTGTGTCTTGAAGAGAGTCCGAATTTTGACTAAAGTGTAGAGCTGATGTGTCTTTTCTCCTCCTGCTCAAGGTGAAGAAGACTCAGATGGAATCATAGCCTTTCCTAGCTGATTAGATGTCTAGAGAGGAAAACCAATAAAGGCTATTCCTTCAGTAAGCTGAAGCATGTAGGAGAAGAAAAGTCACACTGAATGTGGATGGGTGCTGATGTCAGGCTGAACTTATCCTTGTGCTTAATATCTAGGTGTGCATTCTCATCTGGGGGAGGATTTGCTTCCATTCCAGCGATTCTGGAGAGGCAGCTAGCAGCACCTTAGCAGAAAGAGCTGTAGATCCCATTGTGTATCTCCTAGCTGCATGTCACGACAAGGAAAGGAAAAGGAAGACAAGACTAGCTTTAGTTGAATTGTTACCATGAGTCAATGTGGTGTTAGGTGTGGGGGAATAAATATCACCAAGACAGACTTTGTGCTCACAAGGAGTTCAGTGTATAAAAATGAGCATGGAACCAGAGTGCTGAGTAGTGGCAATTTCATTTGCTTACTGGATTCTTGTGATTGATGGGTGTGGTCGGCCATGGCATGTACGGTTGTGGGGAGGAAGGGGTGGATACCATTTGCTATGCCTGGATCTAAATAAATCATACTATGATTTCTGCTGCTCAGGAGAGCCGTGAATGGCTCAGGGAGGCTTCCAAAGATAGTACTGTTCATGTTGTCCCAGGATGGCTGAGGCATCAAGGAAGGCAAGATAGGGGACAGATGTGTAGGTGGTATAGCTATTCCAGAGTAAGGTGAAGGGTCCTTCTGTGAACTCAGAGAAGGTCCTTTTTCTGTGTTCTTGGCTGAACACTGGTGACAGTGCCAGGCCTTAGCAGTATTGTAAATAGGACCAAGTGTTTCTTTGGGGTTCCCATTCATTTAAAAAAAAATTGTCAGAGGGCTCATGCATTAGCCAGAGAAGGAAGCAAAGCAAGAACATATTCCCCATGGGTCATGGTCATACCACAATCCTTTATCCTCCATTTCACCTTCCTTTTGGTATTTTGGGCATATATAAGCATAAGCCTGGCATATTTTTCAGTTTACCTGGGAATCAAACCACAGTTGGCCACTGTGGGATTCAGCCACCTTAACCAGCATGCCATAGGTTTGCCTCGGATTCCCTTTTTTGAAAAATTTATTTCCATGACACCTTGAGAGGATTTAGATTACGAGTTCTTATGGAATAAACATTATTAATCATTTGAATTTTGTTATTGTTGTTATTTTCTATTTTTTCATGATAAATGCAAACCAACCTATGTCAAAAAAAAAAGAAAGAAAGAAAGAAAGAAAGAAAGAAAGAAAGAAAGAAAGAAAGAAAGAAAGAAAGAAAGAAAGAAAGAAAGAAAGAAAGAAAGAAAGAAAGAAAGAAAAGTTTATTCCTGAGACTCCCTTTATCTTTGTTTTGTTTTGTTGAGAGATTTTTGCCTTAGGATGTGTACACTCACTAGAGAGAGAGAGAGAGAGACAGAGACAGTGAGAAGGAACGTGAGAATCACCCCCAAGAGGCATGGCCACACAGCAATTCCTTCTCCATTCTCCTCCCGGGATCTTGGGCATGCATGCACACGTGCCTGGCATGATGTTCAAGCTACCGGGTCCAGAACTCAAACCGTAGTCAGCTATGTGGGAGTTTAGCAAAGTAATCTCTATGCCATCTGCTGGCGCCCAACCCCCTCGATCTTTGAACAGGTCTCCTTTATCAAGTAGAAAATCATGAAACAAGTAAATCATACAACTAAAGGTAATTTGAAGTTTTCTATTTAGAAAGAGGTAAGGTGATGGGCATAGTTATTAACTAGACTTAATTATTTCACATAGTATTGTACTCCATAAATATATACCATTTTAAGGTTAATTTACAATAAAAATTTAAAAATAAAAATAATAAGAGCTGAGACTGAGAGAAAGAGAGAAACTTAATCTCAAATAATAAGTCCTAGAGATCTAGACAACATTTATGTGACTGGGGAGATTCTTTAGGTAGGTCAGGGTTCAGCACACTTTTACTATAAAAGGCCAGTTACCAAATATTTTCAGCTTGGAGGGTCATGCGGTCTCTGTTGTAACTACTCAGCTCTGCCATTGACAGTACCACAAAAACAGTCACAGATAATATCAATAATTGAATGGGAGTTCCAATAAACCTTTATTTATAGACAGTGACATTTCAATACCATGTATCATGAAAGTTAATTATTTTTCTTTGCATTTTTTCCAACCATTTGAAAATATAAAAAAGATTCTTTGTCCATAGACTGTACAAAAACAGGATTTCAGCCAGGGGCCATCATTTGTTAACCCTTACTTTCCCATCACCTCTTCTGTTACAATGTAAACATGATATGCACTGTATTTGAGTAAGGGCACACTGAGAAGACTCTGTTGTATAATCTAACCTAATTCATTCCTTTCTTTAGTCAAAAACTTACTGAGGACTTACTGAGTGCTAGGGGCTGCTCCGTGTACTAGGGATTCAAAAGGAAAGGAAGCAGGTACCTGCCTACAAGTAGCATACATTCCTTTGGCCATGCAGAGAGATTTAGGGACTGGAGGCAAGGGTTTGGGGTTTTGATCTCAGATCTTGCTTCCCTGTACTTTGGATCTCCTTTAGCCAGTTTTGAGGGCGAGGCTTATTTTCAGAGCTGAACTACACAGCCTGAGCAGAGGGCTCCCCAGTTATCAGTTGCTGGAGAGCTGTGCAGCTTGCTGATAGCTCTCATGTTCTGAAGTTCCAACTAAAAGTCCAGCCAAAAAATAAAAGTGAATTAAATAGCATAAAGCCCCAAGACCTTTAGGGCTCAGTATACGCTGGCAAAGCATTCCAGTGGGATTCTGGGATGTTTTTCAAGAGCTGTGGCTTCTCTTGGATTTTCCCATGGCTGATTCCAAGACAACCACTGATCTGCAGATGTTCCCCTAGGACTGGGTCATGGCGGAGACTCATCAAAACAGCAGCCACTCTTATTGCCAGGGTCAGAGGTCCGTGCACATGCGGCCCTTGGAAAAGCTCCTCCTTCTTCAGCTCCCTCCCATTCTCATCAGGCAGGTTTCTGAGAAGCTCTGACAATTCCTCCTTTGAGACCAACAAGTCCCCTCCATGAGGTAGGTAGGGGGAAAGATACTGCTTGAGACAGAAGAGGGGCTATCCAGTGAGGAGGAAGTTGTTGCCAGCTGTGTGCCATCCGTAAGCACCTCCTTTGTCATGCTGTGGAAATTGGACTGGAGATGAGAGAACACAAAAATAAAGTAGGTGATGTAGTTTCTGCATCATAGTGTGGCAGTTCAGCTAGGTGGGAATGGGTGCAGGAGATAGGAAGTCCCAGAAACAACATCTTTGTTCTCCCCAAAACTCAAACTGGTCTAATCACCAATAGGCCTTGTCACCTAGCTTCCCCACAGAGTCCTTGTGTAGATACTAAGTGATTTTATTACATGAATACATGGTTGCAAAGGTTTCTTTTTTTCCCCTCTTGTTAAGAGTCTGAAATGTGAAACACTCCACCTTCTTCCTTTTGCAAGCTCTCCCGTCTCTCTTGCATGTATCCCATCTCCTCTTCAGCTCCCTCCCATTCTCAGGCAGGTTTCTGAGAAGCTCTGACAATTCCTCCTTTGAGACCAACAAGTCCCCTCCATGAGGTAGGTAGGGGGAAAGATACTGCTTGAGACAGAAGAGGGGCTATCCAGTGAGGAGGAAGTTGTTGCCAGCTGTGTGCCATCCGTAAGCACCTCCTTTGTCATGCTGTGGAAATTGGACTGGAGATGAGAGAACACAAAAATAAAGTAGGTGATGTAGTTTCTGCATCATAGTGTGGCAGTTCAGCTAGGTGGGAATGGGTGCAGGAGATAGGAAGTCCCAGAAACAACATCTTTGTTCTCCCCAAAACTCAAACTGGTCTAATCACCAATAGGCCTTGTCACCTAGCTTCCCCACAGAGTCCTTGTGTAGATACTAAGTGATTTTATTACATGAATACATGGTTGCAAAGGTTTCTTTTTTTCCCCTCTTGTTAGAGTCTGAAATGTGAAACACTCCACCTTCTTCCTTTTGCAAGCTCTCCCGTCTCTCTTGCATGTATCCCATCTCCGTTCTACGCCCCCTGCCTTTTCTACTATGATTTGGCTCTGCATCTGCCCAAAACTCATATGAAAATGCCATTCCAGGCTAAAGTCCCCCAGAACCAGGATGGACACTGTGGAAATGAGGACGGAGTGAAGGCCTGTGGACCCTGGCCTTCAGTGCTTTTAGTAGGGCACTTTTGTATCTGATACCCTGCCCTCAGGCAGATTTCTTTTAGCAAGTCTGAATGTGAATGGTCCGTTTACTCCACAGCTTGATCATAAATATCAAATTTGTTTGTTCAGTAATTATTTGTGAGCATCTGCTGCACACCAGCTGCTCTGTTGGAGATAAAAGCATGGTGAAACACAACCAAAATACTGTCCTTAGTAGTACCTTCCAGGCTACTTACTCTACTCCCTCATTTTGTAGATGAAGACACGGAGGCTCCAAGTGGGATAGTGAATTACTTAAGGTGACATAACTAAGGACAGAGCCAGGACAGGAATACAGGATCTTCTAACCTAAGCAAGCATAGGCTTCCTCACAATCAGAGAGCAGAAATTGTATTTACATATAAATTTTTAGCATTTTAATATCAATGGAGAGAAATCTCTTATCTGCATTGTGAAGGGTGCAGGCGTAATTATTATTCATATGAATATAAATAGCCTCCACTTAGTTATGGGTCTTTCAGATGAATAAACTGAGGCTCAGGAGATTGTGTTTGAATAAAGGTCACTTAGCTAGAGGTGCCAAAGCTGGGAGAATGACTTGGGCCCTCTGACTCTTGATCACCTGCCACAAATAAATGCTCACCTGCACTAGCCTCTTAGCCTCCCCTCTCCTCTCCGACATGATCAAGAAGGAGGGAGAAGAAGCCCTAAACCATTCATGTAGTATACTACAGTTCTCTCAGAGCGCAGGAATGAGGCAGGAACTCAGAGACCACTAAGGGTACTGAAGAGATCGGAGAAGAAAGTGTCATAAAATAGATTAGGTTAGGGAAACAGACCTTAGCAGTAATTTTGACACTTGCCAACATAAAAATAGACATGCCGGAGTTGGCAGGTGGCATGGTGATTAGGGCTCTGAACTCCCACATGTCCGACTACAGTTCGAGTCCAGGACTTGGCAGCTTGCTTTCTGTCTGTCTCTCTCTCTCTGGTCATATTGAATAATGATAACAATGACAACAAATTAAATTAAATCAATGAATCTTGAAAAAAAACCCAGACATACCTGTGTGGATCAAAATTAGGTATCATGGTAAGGAAGGTTGTTGATACACACAATACAGCTTGGCCCACCAATAATTATGAGAGTTATAAACCCCATCTGTGACTTGATTAGCTTGGGTCCAAAGATTATATAACTTGGGGGCCAGCAGGTAACATGGTGGTTAAGGGCACTGGACTCTCACATGGCTGACTGTGGTTTGAGTCCCAGACCTGATGGCTTTCTCAGTTTCTCTCTCTCTCTCTCTCTCTTTCTCACTGTCTGTCTCTGGTTAAATTAAAATAAATAAATAAAGTTAAATAAAGAAATATTGAATAACAAAAAAGATTATATAACTTTGCCCCTGAATTTCTGCTTCTGATTACATTCCTTCCTTTTGATTAGACCTGTAGCATGATCCTAGTAGTCCATTGAGACTGGTGAAGTTCTGCTCTGTATTGGGGACAGTTGGTAAAAGAGAAGAACAAAACCTCAGGCACTGTCGATTGCCTTTTAAATGACCTCTTCCAGGTTTCTGGGGATCCCTGTGCTGTCAGAAGTTCCATAACTAACTCTACTAGTAATCCAGCAATTAAATCATCAGTTTTCAGGTCCAATTTTCTATCAACAAAATGGTGAACATGTAGCAAGCAGCTTCTATGTAGACATTCTTAGATCAGCTTCTTTGGGGGTTATGGAAAGAATGCACTTCAAAGACTTTCAACTAGCTGATGAGCTCCTTGGATCAAGACAGATGCCATGGCTGTATGTAATTTTTCATTTATTTGCTTGCTCGACTATGAGGCTCTGGAACTTCATCATTATCCTGTCAGTGGCTCTGTGCTATATAGACAGATTATAACTAATTCATCCATTTCATAAATAAGTATCGAGCACATCTGCTAGGTACAATGATGAAATATAGTGATCAAGGTAATCATGGTTTCTGAACTCAGAGAGTCCATGCCTGATGAAGGGTTAGAGGCAGCAACCTTAAGCAGAATAACTCAATTATGAAATATGGTGGGAAGGGAGCAAAGAGGGTTTAAATGATGTAATAACATCTAGGGTGGAAGGAGACCCAGAATGTTTAGGGAGGGTGGGAATTGAAGGCCCTGAAGTGGGATGGGGGCCTGAAGTTTGACAGTGATTAGCCATGAAGGATATGAGAGTAAGAGTAAAGGAGACAGAACATTCTAGAAGATAAAACTATCCCAAACTCAGTACCTAAAATAAAGACACCTTATTATTTCTCACAGTTCTATGGATTAATTGGGCTTTGATGGGTGTTGGTGCTCACCAGGGGTCTCTCAAGCAATTATAGTCAGGTAATGACTGGGGCTAGAGTCATATGAACATTAGAGTTGTCTGGATAGTTCCTTCATGATAGTTCCTTCACTGACATGTCTGAATTAGGCGGGCTAGAATGACTGGAGGTTGGATGACAATGCTGTTTGTCTGTGTAACTCTTTCACTTGGCTATCTTGAGCATCCTCAGAGCACGGAGGGCTCAGGATAAATAAGGGCTGGCTTTCTTCAGAGTGAGCAGAAAAGAAAAAGTTGCCCTTCTTCTTAAAGACTAGACCTAGTTAGGTCTATCATCACTTCAGTAATATCCTATTGATCAAAGCAGTCACAGGTCAGCTAAGATTCTAGGACATGAAGGATTAGACGCTGTATTTCAGAGGAAGGACAGTTGGTATATTCAGGGAGGCAAGAGGCCAATGGTTGCCATATTGAAGACAAGCTAAGACTCTGAGATAGAAAAATCTTGATTAGCACACCAGAAAGACAGCCAGTGCTGCTAGAGTATTGTGAAGGTGGCACAAGATGAAGCACCAGCGACAGAGTGGGGTCCTTAGGTAAGTTGTGGTAGGGAATTCAGATTTTTTTTTCCTTTTTTTTTTGGATAGGTTTTTGCTATAGGGCGTGTGTGCTTACCAGAAAGACAGAGAGAGACAGAGAGACAGAAACTGAGAAATCACCCCCCAGGGGGGATGGCCATGCCACAATCCCTTCTCCTCCATTATCCTCTTGGGATCCTGGGAACGCACGCACACGTGCCCGGCGTGAGTTTAAGCCACCGGGTCTGGGACTCGAACCATGGTCGACTACATGGGAGTCCAGCAATGTAGCCATTATGCCAACTGCTGGTCCCTTCAGATTGTTTTTTTAAGTGTCACAGAAGCCTTAGTTGTCCTTCTAAAGGTTGATAACTATAAGGCATCTCCTTTCTTCTTTCTTACTACCCATTTCCACTCTCTGCTAATAAGCTATCTTAAAGCCCAGTGTGGCTCTTGTGCTCTCAGGCTTTCTAAACCCTCAGTGAGTTCTCATTGCCTCCTGAACCTGGCACATATTTCCCAGTCTAGCTTTTATGGTTCCCCTCCAAGTTATGTGCTTACACACTTTTCTTGTATTTTTGCAGGGTCTGTCAAGTTGGACCACATGCTTCCTCCCAGAGGAAACTTTTGTTTTCCTGCCTCCATGCCTAGTCATGCCAGTCACTTTGACTAGAGTGCTCCCCTATGACCCCATCTCCACCTGTCAAAATCCTGTCTCCCCTTTAAAATTTCCCTCTGACATTACTTCCTCAAGCTAAGTGTGACCCCCCCTTGCTCCTCAGAAGCCTAGTTATTTCTGATTAAACAGAGCTAATGCTTTGTAAGGTATAGTTACATTCATATTTACGTTGCCCTCACATTCTTGGGTCCCCTTCCCATTACCGCTTGCTCTTCAAGGATAGAAAGCACAACAACCTTGCTCCTGCTCCTTCTGCCCCACGGTTCTGTGCCTTGCACAGAGCTATCATTTAGTTGATGCCTGTCGAATTAAACAGCTGTTTCTCTGGGCCACCAGCCTCCAATTGTCTCTTTCTTTTCCCATGGCAAATTGCAGTATTTAGCTCCCAGCAACTCCTGGTCCATGGCCCCAAGGTTCCTGGCAGGCCTTTCCCGAAGGACCACAGGACTGCTGTTCCCAGACAGCCAGCCCTGCATAAGCCAGAGCCCAGTCCCAGGGAGGTGGAGAGCTTCTGATTCCACTGGTTCCCCTGGCTCCTCTCTTTCCAGCTGCCTTGCACTTGTTTTCCTTGGCAGGAAGAAGCCCTCAGTCACCACTTCATCTTCCATTTATAGGCATATATGCATCTTTGTTATTCTTTTCACAAAATGACAGTTTTCTCAGTTCAGAAAAAAAAAAAAAAGGGAGAGAGAGTTGAGGGCCGCACAGAGCAAAGAAGGCATTTTTTCTTTTAAGAATTATTTTATTTAACTTTATTTATTATTATTATTTTCTAGTTTTGATCAGAGAGAGATAGAAGGAGAGAGAGAGGGAAAATGAGAAAGCAAGTCACCAGGTCTAAGACTCAAACTGCGGTTGGCCATATGGGAGTCCAGCACCTTTAACCACCATGCCACCTGCCGGCCCTCAAAGAAGGCATTTTGTATAAGACTTCCAGGGCTTCCTGTAATATTTC